CCGGCCCGCGTCGCTGCCTAGGCCTCCGGAGCCCCGGCGTCACAGTCCTAGGACGCTCCCGGGCCTCCGCACCTGGCCCAGTTCCGCCCTCCGCGGTCCCCTCGGGAGGCGCCGATCCTTGGAAAAGCATTTCTGCAGCTACTCAGATGCTCTCGGCGCAGAGGCATTTTCTCCTGGCCGGCTCTGCTGCCTAGCCAGGTCCCAGCCTCCACTTTCCCGGCCTTTCCAGCCCTGTGGAAACCCGAGCTTTCCTCTCGCGGGGTCTGGACCGCGCACGTGCGTGTCCGGCGCAGTGAATCCGCACCCTCGATGGCACTGGCTGTAAAAACATCGCGTGGCGCCGAGGGAGATAAACACTCCTGCGCCCGCAGGCGTCACGCGCAGCGCACACTCACGGCCCTCGCCCCCGCTCCCGCTGGGCTGGGGGCTTGCAGGTGGCCAGGCTGACCCGAGTGGTTGTGTTTCTTCGCAGAGAAAGATAAGAGCCAGCAGGGCAAGAATGAGGACGTGGGCACCGAGGACCCGTCCAAGAAGAAGAGGCAGCGGCGGCAGCGGACTCACTTTACCAGCCAGCAGCTGCAGGAGCTGGAAGCCACTTTCCAGAGGAACCGCTACCCAGACATGTCCACGCGCGAGGAAATCGCTGTGTGGACCAATCTCACGGAAGCCCGAGTCAGGGTAAGAGGCCGAGGGCGGGCGAGGTGGGGCTGCAGGACCGCGGAGGAGGGCAGCGCTGACCCGGGCGCCCCTGGAAGCAGTAAGGCAGGACGGAGACCGAGGGGCGGCCGTTTGCAGGCGGATTTGAGCCCCGGAGCATCCCGGCTCACCGCCGGCCACCCGAGTCCTCTGGTCCTGGGCCACGTGGGCCTTCTGCAGAGGGCATTGTGCTCATGCTTGCAGTCGCCAGAGGAGCGCTAATAAAATTTCTGGGCCCGTAACAAGGAACACCAGCTGAGAAGCGCTGCTGGGCTCTCAGGGGAGCTCCGCCAGCCCGGCCCAGGCTCTCCTCTCCAGCTCGACTTCCTTAAGATCTTTTACGGGTGCTTTTGGTGGGGGGAGTCAGGTCTCTCTTACACCCTGGCCCATGATTTGTGATCTCTGGAAGCCAAACTTTAATATTCAGCTATTATTCTATTAGTTTTCTTAAAAGGGGGTAGAAAACTTCAGTTCGTTTTATCTTCTCTCAGGGATTGAACTTTTTGAAGATAGATAATCCTTCCTCCTAATTATAATAGGTTTATTTAAAAAAAGAGCTTACCTTATCTTTGTTGTACATTTGCACTTTTTATATTGGCAAAAACTGCTTAAATTACCCCATAGCGACATCCAGGTTTATGCCGGTAAATGGAAAATTCCAAAATTTTAGGGTTGTGGAGACAAAAAAAAAAAAAAAAAAAAAAAAAAAAAAAAAACAACAACAACAACAACAACAACAAAAAAACCCCAAGACAGAACCAAGAAGCATCTAAATGCTTTGCTCTTTAGGAAAAAATAATGCTCTGGGTAGAAAAATGAAGTTCCCAGTTGGAGCAAAGAATCCAAAAACAAAACATGAGATAGCAATAAAGAGGAAAAGAGTAAAAAGCAAAACAAGCTTCAGACCGCGGGGACGGGTCTCCCGGGAGGCTGTGGTCGGATGAGTCCAGCTGGTTCCTGGAGAGCAGCGAGAGCTGGAGGTGGTTTTAGTTTAACTGCCCGTCCGCATGGTGTGGGCAAGGTCTGTCTCCTCAGCCATCTGGGCCGTCAGGAATCAGCAAGCATGCACTCTTTTCTCCGGGGCAAAGTTTAGAAGGCCTGGGTAGAAGTGACAAGTGATTAAAATAAAAGCGCAGTTTGTGGGTTTTGTAGATCTTCCCAAAGCCCTCCCACCACCTCCAGGCTCCTCTGCAGCTCCTCCTGGGCCTGGCCCAGCCCGAGCCGAGCCGGGCTCCCCTTCCCTGCGTCTGCCTCCTTCCCTTCCCGGAGCTGAGTGGGAGCCCACATGGTTTTTATAGCAGCCGGGTGCATAGAGGAAGGTGATGAAAAGCGAATCGGGAATGAAAGGAAAAAAAGCGGATTAGGAGGCCCAAGCTGCAGAGATGTGTAACGTGAAACATCCCCCAGTCCGCTCCGGAGCGCTGGCCAGGCCTCGCTCCAATACACAAAAGCCGCCGCCGTCTGGGGCAACCGACGGGCGTGATGTGGATTGGGAGTGGGGTTGCAGTGGGGCCACTGGGCAGGTGGGGGCTAGCGGGCAGCCGCACTGGGCCGCACCAGAGCTGGGCCCAGTGTACGAGGAGGGAGGCCTGTGAGGCCGCAGACCGCGGTTCTGGGTCTGGCATTGAAGGAGAAGATGAGGAGGTGGTCTTGGGGTTTTATGAGGCCGTTTTTCTGGGGAGGATGGGGGTCGCCCCACCCGAGTGGAAGGCCTTGAAGGGGGCAGGGGCGACATGGAGGTCCTGCAGGGGAGGGCGGGGTGTGCTGGAGCGTGCAGGTTCCCGTGCCCTCCCAGCTCTGCATCCCTGAAGCTGGGCCTGCGGGTTGGGAAGGGAAGCCAGTTTCCAAGGTGGTCCGGGCTGGGCAGGGCGGTAGCCGGCTGGCCTGGTTTATTTTGCAGTAAGTGTTCTTGGGCCCGGAGGAGGCCCTGGCTTTGTGATCAAGCTACCCACAGGCTGCTGGGCACTCCGCTGGGGCTTGTGGTGCAGCGCGCAGGCTGGAGCTGGCTGGACCCTGGCCGAGGTCCAGCGGGTAACTGAGTCCTGACCGGCACAGGGTGCCGGGCCGTGTGCCCGTGTGTGAGCGTGGGGCGGCCCTGGCCTTCAGTGACCGAGTGTTTATTAACCCGAGCTGCCCACCCCCCAGGTTTGGTTCAAAAATCGTCGGGCCAAATGGAGAAAGCGGGAGCGCAACCAGCAGGCCGAGCTATGCAAGAACGGCTTCGGGCCGCAGTTCAACGGGCTGATGCAGCCCTATGACGACATGTACCCGGGCTACTCCTACAACAACTGGGCCGCCAAGGGCCTCACGTCGGCCTCCCTGTCCACCAAAAGCTTCCCCTTCTTCAACTCCATGAACGTCAACCCCCTGTCGTCGCAGAGCATGTTCTCCCCGCCCAACTCCATCTCGTCCATGAGCATGTCGTCCAGCATGGTGCCCTCGGCGGTGACGGGCGTCCCGGGCTCCAGCCTCAACAGCCTGAATAACTTGAACAACCTGAGCAGCCCATCGCTGAATTCCGCGGTGCCGACGCCCGCCTGTCCCTATGCGCCACCGACCCCCCCGTACGTTTACAGGGACACGTGTAACTCCAGCCTGGCCAGCCTGAGACTGAAAGCTAAGCAGCACTCCAGCTTCGGCTATGCCAGCGTGCAGAACCCGGCGTCCAACCTGAGCGCCTGTCAGTACGCGGTGGACCGGCCTGTGTGAGCGGCGGCCTGGGCTGGTGCTGGGCCTGCAGAGACTGGGGACCGCCCAGGAGGTCGGGCACTAAGGCGGGAAGTTGGGGAGGAAAGGAAACCACTGAATTCAAGAGCGCGCCTTTGATGTCAAAGGCCTGTCCTGGCCGCGACACCTTTTACCCTTTTACGAAAGTATTTCCAACAGTTGCAAGGACAGGGACGCAAATGTTTGACTGGATATGACATTTTAACATTACTATAAGCTTGTTATTTTTTAAGTTTAGCATTGTTAACGTTAAAATGACTGAAAGGATGTATATATATCGAAATGTCAAATTAATTTTATAAAAGCAGTTGTTAGTAATATCACAACAGTGTTTTTAAAGGTTAGGCTTTAAAATAAAGCATGTTATACGGAAGCGATTAGGAGTTTTCGCTTGCGAGCAAGGGAATGTATATACTAAATGCCACACTGTATGTTTCTAACATATTATTATTATAAAAATGTGTGAATATCAGTTTTAGAATAGTTTCTCTGGTGGATGCAATGATTGTTTCTGAAACTGCTATGTACAACCTACCCTGTGTATAACATTTCGTACAATATTATTGTTTTACTTTTCAGCAAATATGAAAAAAATGTGTTTTATTTCATGGGAGTAAAATATACTGCATACAAATTGGTCTGGATTCTTTCTCCCCTCTCTGTCACCTGGCTGTGGTGCTTAGAGTCAAACAAACCAGTTTCCTCTGCCTGCCTCGTTAAACATACAGGGCAGAGGTACTTACTTAAATTTGGTAGAAATAAATTATAGCCATTCATCAGAAACTAAAAAGAGAGGACGCTCCTAGGGGGAAAAACTCCAGCAAAGTCTGGTCTTGTCTCAGATTTTGCTTTGGCTTAAACCCAGAGGCTTCCATTATGGCCAGCAAATAATACACAAGAAGGAAGGTGAAAGAAATTCCAAAGTATGCCAGCCTTGAAGGCCTCTCCACTTTATTCCGTCAGAGGGGAAACCGCAGCTCCAGTAAATTGTTCATGTGTGTACAGTTTATATACATTGCTCTCAGGAAGAATACATCTACAATAAATTTCCAAGGAAACACCTCCATTTCAAAATATTTAGGCCTCTGCGTTTATCTTTCAGGCTTAAGTAGAGAGATTCTTCATGTTATATTGCATTACTATTTCCAAATCCTTTCGAGACATTAAAAGAAACAAAGCCCATTTCTAATAACCACAGCCCTTCAGCTTCTCAATGAGCCGGGCTTGAGAGGTTAGAACGGGGTTTCCTGAGTCTTGTCGAGCAATATGTAGTTGAGGCAAAGGTCACGCTCCCAGTGTTGTGTTTTAAATAATATTGACCCATTAATTCTAAACCTGCTTGTTCCTGAAATTATACAGGATTATAGTTTGCAAACTGCAGCACAATGAAGCAAATCAAGATGAATTACAGCCCTGGGCCTCCCGTCCTCTGACATCTACACCGGGGAGGAGGTGGGCCGTGTTTAAAAACTGCGAGCGCCGCTCGGCTTCGGGAGGCCTTCACTTTTTCCCTCCTGTCACAGAGTGGCAAATAGCACTGATTTGCAGGGAGCCCGGCGCCCGGCGCTGGGGAGCTGGGGGAGGGGATGAAGGTGCCACTCAGATGGGGAAAACTAGGAAAGAAGCAGTTAGGGAAGATGAGAGAATTCTGTTCTGTGTTCATCTCTTGTTTCCGCTGCCCAGACCTCAGCCATCAATGGGGGATTTTTGTCTACTTTATCTCTGTAGCTCTCAAAGTTCCTAACATAACTATGTGAATCAGTGTTATACACAATGCTCAAGCCGTGCATTTAAAAAACCAGACAACCTCCTTTAAAAGTGACAGCTTTCAAACAAATGTGATATTACTTACTATACCAATAACAAAAACAAAAACATTTTTTGGTTAAGTTCCCACATAGCTTCCCATGTAGCTTTTTCAGATTTTTATATACACAGAAATTTATACAATATCCTCATTTTAACTAATTTCATATAATTTTACTAGTTAGGTATATTGTAAGATTGTAATACTGTAAGATATACTATTGCAAATGGGAAATTTATAATGTTATTATTATATAGTATAGCCCATACACTACTTATCATTTTAG